ACTGGACTCAGGACTGTTTTCAGATTTTGGGGGGCCCTGGGCAGAGAGTTCCTGGAGGGGGGGGCACTTCCCATGCACTCACCCACGTGTCTCACTACCTGCCCGTGCGTCCTTCTGTGTCCTGCTCACAAACCCTCCCACTGCCCATGCTCATAGCCACCTGCACCAGGGCCGTAGCCAGTGTTCCCTCTAAGCCAAGTTAGTGTGAGCTACCCCACCGTTTTTTAGCCTCCGGCTCACACATTTTTGGTCTTAGCTCAGGAAGGGATGGCTCCAGAGCAAACTGATTTACACAGCCGCCAGTAGCCAGATCGCTCACTCACAACTTAAATGCCAGGAGCTCACCAAGTAGAATTTTGGCTCACAAGACTCCACAGCTTAGAAGGAGCATTGGTTGTAGCCAGGGGTCATTTCGCAGAAAAAGAGGTGCAGGAGCTCATTGGCATAACTCATTAGCATAACTTATTTGCATATGCCACACCCCTGACATCACCAGAAGTGTGTCAGAAGGCAACACCCACCCCTCAGGGCTCCACTGGACTGTTTTGGATTCCTAGCTAATGGGGGGGGGGTATGTGCAGATCTGTCCTTGCAGAGGAGGGAGAGCTTGTACCTGAATAAAACTTGGTCTTAAAGGTGCCACTGGACTGTTTTGGACTGGAGGGGCGGAGGGGGCTCTGCAACTTACCTGGCTGTTTTTTGCTCTGACTGAGGGCTGCTGGGAGCAGGGGGCGGGGCTTGTTGCATGTGCCCGCCCCCTGGGCTCTTTACTTCCGGAGCTCCACTCCTGTGCGCTCCTGCAGGAAATGACCCCTGATTGTAGCCAGGATTTTTCGTTTTGTGGGGTAACTTTTTTCCCCTTTGTGGGTCACCCATTATGCTTGTACTTATACTTAAAAATTAATAAATAACTGGCGAGTTGGGGAGTGGAGCCTGAGGAGCACGGGGTTTGGAGAGGGGAGGGACTTCAATGGAATATAATGCTATAGAGTCCACCTGGAGATCAGGTGTAATGCTTGGGGATCTCCAGCTCCCTCCTACACCATCACCAACCCCCCTCCCACTGCCCCTGCCATGGAAAGTTATGGGAGAGAGAGAGATTGGCTTTTCCACCACCCTCACCATGCCCTCTCTCTCTCTCCTTCCCCAGCACCCCTCCCCCAGCAGCCTGGAAGTTGGGGAAGGAAAGGGAAGCCATCCTGCAGCTTCTGGTCAGTTTCACTCCCAGAGGAACAGCTGTTAAACCTAACAGCTGATGTGGGGGAAAAGTGAAACTGACCAGAAGCAGCAGGGCGGCTTCCCTTTCTTTCTAGGCGCATTGGGGGTGGGGGGTGTCTGGCATCATCACGTGGTGGGGAGGGCTTGTGGATGGTGGATGCCCCACCATGGCACTGCCCACAGCCCTTTCCCTGGTGGCACTGGGCACTGCCTGCAGGGATGCATGGGTGGAGAAGCACTAGCTAGCGAGTAGGCAGGGAAATAGCACGTTCTGGGGGTTGGCTTCAGTGGGCCGCGTCAGAAGCCCTGGGCCCTGCTAGCTGCCCAACCTGCCTGTATGCTGACTCCAGCCCTGACTGGACTTGGATCTCGGGGAGCAAGCGGTGGCCCAGGGGAAGCACCCGAACCTCTTTGATCCATCTTAGGCTGCCAGTTCTGGTTTAGGAAAGTCCTGGAGATTTGGGGGAAGTACCTGAGGAGGGGAGGAACTTCCGTAGTACCTGAGGAGGGGAGGAACTTCCGTAGGGTCTAATGTCACATAGTCTGCCTTCCAAAGCTGCTATGTCCTGCGAAGGAATTGATCTCTGCCAGTTTGGAGATTAGTTGTAATTCTGGGAGAACTCCAGGTTTCCTCTGGAGGCTGGCATGTTTACTCTCTGGAGTCTTTTGCATCACCTAGTACCTGATTATTTTCACTGAAGATGCTGGGGATTGAACCCGGGACCTTCGGGGCAAAAAGCAGATGCTCTACCACTGAGCCACGGCCCCTTTCCTAATATCAAAACACCATCCCCTTGATGGCATCATTAAGTGAGAGGGGGTCTTTAAACTATCTTTAACCGACAGCTGTCTGCTCAAGCTACATTTAGGATTAAGGATCAATGGTAGACATTTCATGAAAGAAAGCACAGTGGGTTGTTGTTGTTGAGGGTTTTTTGCATCAATTGATTATAAATGGTGGGAGGCAAACCACCTAAGTTGGGAAAACCAGCAAGAAAAATGAAAAAACAAAAACACACAAAAAACACACCTCTTAGGAAAAGCAAAACAAAATGGTGTATCTATATACCCCTAGTTCGAAACTGGGCCCATAACCCAATTGGAAAGCAATGTAAATGCTGCCACACGAGCCAAGAGGATACACGCCTTTTCATTTTAAATCAGCACCAGTGTCGGATGCGTTCTGAAGGCTGTACCGCATAACTCTGCTGACATGCTTGTGTAGGTGTGTGTAAAGTGCCATCAAGTCGCAACCGACTTATAGTGATGCCAGCAATGGTCTTTCAAGGCAAGTGAGAAGCAGAGGTGGTTTGCCATTGCCTTCCCTGAGGGTCTCCCATCCAAGGACTGGTCCTGCTTAGCTTCTGAGATCTGATGAGATCAAGCTATACGATGCTGCCTTCCCCCCCCCCCCTACAGATATGCTCAACATGGCAGGAAGGAAGGAAGGAAGGAAGGAAGGAAGGAAGGAAGGAAGGAAGGAAATAAAGAAATAGGGGAGGGAGAGAGGAAGGAAGGAGGGAAGGAAGGAAATAAAGAAATAGGGGAGGGAGAGAGGAAGGAAGGAGGGAGGGAAGGGCAAGGGGGAGGGAGGGAGGGAGGGAAGGAAGGAAGGAGGAGCTATGCAAAGTCCCGCCAGTATCCTGGCAACCCACAACATATAGGCTAGGATCTAGGGATCCTCCAAGTAGGGCCTGGTGTCCTCTCAGAATCCCCCTGGAGAAAATAGGGGGCAAACTTTATGGTATACCGTAGATTTTGTGTGAAATCCCTCCCCAAACCCTGCCTTCCCCAGACACCACTCAAATCTCCTGGAATTTCCCAGGCCAGAGTTGGAACCCGTACTTGGATCCCACCTAGATTTCTACAGAAGCAAGGAGAGTAAAAGGTTTTTGTCCAGTCATCCCTCCCACGGCAGCCCAAAACACACAGCATAATGTCACTTTTGGGGATGGGGGACCCCCCCCCCCAGAAGTAGTTGAGGGGGGTGTGGAAATCAGTGGAAATTAGTCCTTCCTTGTGCCAGTGGAAATCTCCGCAGGCTCCAAACCACTGACTGCAGATGCACCGTGCTCCCATTGGAAACCTCTGGCAGTCATTCTGAACTCTTTTCACTGAATCTGATTACCACCTAGTTGGTGGGACTACTGTAGCAAGTCAATCAAGTCAATCAAAACAAGCCAGGACATAAATGGCTATTTAAAAAACAAACAAACCATGGCTGTCTAAAATAAAACAGATAAAACTGTCCTCAGTTTAGGTGCAGGTGATAAAGCTGTTTAAAAAAAAAAAAGCTGAAACCCTTTTAATGAGAAGCCCGCGTAAAGAGAAATGTTTTGGCCTGGCCATGAAAAGAAAGGCAACTGGGTTCCTAGAAGAGCCTCAAGGGGGAGGGCATTGCAAAGGTGAGGTGCCACCACTGGAAAAGCCCCGCCTCTGGTCCCCATCCACTTCAGCTATAAGAGCAAGAAAAATGGGGTTTGAGAAAAGGATCTTAACTGGTGTGTGGTCAATATGAGAGGAGATATAGTAGGCACTTTGGTGGCAAGGTAACAGCGTTCCGTGCGCCTTGGTATTTAGTCATGCCAGCCACATGACCACGGAAAACATCTTCGGACAGCGCTGGCTCTTCGGCTTTGAAACGGAGATGAGCACCGCAACCCTAGAGTCGGACTCGACTGGCTTTCGAGCAAGGGAACCTTTACCTATAGCAGGCACCCAGTGGGAGATGATGTGGGCAGGGACATGGGGGTGCCATCAGTGCAATGGTGTGATGTCACTTCCTGGTGAAAAAACAGAAGTGATGTCACAGTGCTCCAGGAATCACCGGAAACCATAAATCATAGAGTTTCCAGCGATTCCTAGAGTGGCTTGAGGTTGCTTCTAGGTCCCCCCCCCCCCCCAAAAAAAAATACCATGCCCATGCGCCAATGGTGGTTTTAAAATTATTTTTCTCCTGCCAGTCCACAGAGCTTCAGCAGAAAATGGGGACTGCTGGTGGGAGTTCCTCCATCACATCGGGAAATTTGGCAACCCAAGAAAGAGCCAGCCCTTATTCGATCACACGCTTATAGCAGTTCAGATTTCTTTCCTTTTGTCCAATAAAAGCTCTATGATACACCAATTTCGTGCACTGGATAGTTGTTGTCAATCACTTATTACCCAATAGACAAAAGGAGTAAAAAAAAAAAAATGCAACTGCTAGAGTTCTTTTTTTGGGTCCCTGTCAGAAAGTAAAGAAAGTATCCTGCCAATCTAGCAGTTCAAAAACAAGAAATTGCAAGTAGATAAATAGGTACCACTTCAGTGGGAAGGCAACAGCGTTCCGTGCGCCTCGGTGTTTAGTCATGCCAGCCACATGACCACGGAAACGTCTTTGGACAGCACTGGCTTTTCGGCTTTGAAACGGAGATGAGCACCGCAACCCTAGAGTCGGACTCGACTGGCTTTCGAGCAAGGGAACCTTTACCTTTACCTAAGATGGGGCTGGCCACCTTCCATATATAAATATGGAAACTGCTTAGGGCAAAGCCGTGGAGTTTTGTGAGCAAAAATTCCACTTTGTGAGTGACTGGCATCAGAGTTGTGAGCGAGCGACTTGGCTACTGCATAAATTAGGTTACTCTGGAGCCCTCCTTCCTGAGCTAAGACAAAAATGTGTGAGCTGGAGGCTAAAGAACTGTGAGCTAGCTCACACTAACTCAGCTTAGAGGGAACACTGGCTTGGGGTATACTCTTTTATCAATTAATTTAGGTTTTTCTTCTTTGTCCAACCAGTTTTCTTAGGTGGTGTGTGTCCGAGCCAAGAGGCAGGAGCAAAGAAGGAAACATCCGTCCCCTGGCCCTGACCCTCTCTCGGGGCTGAAATCCAAGAGGGGCTTTGCAACATGCAACTCTCCAGAAACTATATCCCATCAGGATTTCTCCTAGGTATGTTCCTCACCGCTCGCAGGTTTGGGAGCTGCTCGATCCCTCTGGGAGACTAGTGGCCCACCTACGGTCCTTAAGAAGAATGATCTTCATTCGTCCTTCCCCAGTTTCTTCCTACAAAACAACAATCCCTCCCCCCTTTTTTAGGAATTTTGCGTCAGTTTTTAATTACTTCCATTTTGATCAAAGAGAGGAAGAGCAGGAAGGGAGGTTTTGCAGAATTTCGCCTTGCAGATGCTTGGAGGCAGGCAATGTCTTCCCCACCTTTCCTATTCTCCATTTAGAGCACCACTCTGTGCCATGTGGTATAAAGCAACTGGAAGGGCTGAAGCTACAAAAGAGGGCGCTGATTTCTCTACAAAGAGGAATCAAAGAGAAATTCCGTTTTTAACAAAGAGGAAAAAAGAGAACATGAGGAACCAATGCATATATCTTAAAGAGTGTGGGGTGGTTTTTTGGGGGGGGGAGAGATTCCCACAGAACGGAGTTCCGGCTGGCTCCCGAGTTGGCCATACCCAGCAGGAACTCATTAGCATAATAGGCCACACCCAACAGCAGAAACTCATTAGGACTGGCTACATTAGGGGTGTGTGGCCTAACATGCAAAAGAGTTCCTGCTATAAAAAAGCCCTGGGTTTGGACAACAAACAAGGTAAACAGAATAAGAAGCAAAAGGTGAGTGTGTCTAATTGACCCCACTTCTGCGAACATGGGGTGTGTGGCCTAATATGCTAATGAGCTGTGCTGTCAGGGGTGTGTCCTAATAAGGAAATGAATTCCTGCT